AAATTCAAATAATCAAAGAAGCTGCAGCTATCTTTGAAATTTCAATACCTTTATCTTTGTATTTTGAAACACGAAATTCTACATCCTACTCTGTGTTACTCATTAAAATTCATGCAAAATGTTTTTCCCATCAACTGGATAGTGAGTGGTGTGTGCACCTGAATTAAAAGACGTAACACATGGATCAGGGAATGGAGACAGAGTGGAACAGACGTTCACTACAAACCTATTAGGTACCATGTACTTTTGTCCTAAGTCTCACAGTGATGGTGAGCTTGGTCTAAGTCTCTAGTCTGACTCCGTAGCATTCCCAGATTGCACTTCCTTCCTGGCATCTATGGAAACATTGCCTAGTGTTTATTCAGTGTTCTAGTGCTCCAGGTAAGAGAGTAAACACTTCGCATGTGTTACCACATGCAGTTTCCATGGAGACCATTTAAAGTATTATCATCATCCTTGTTTTACAAATAAGAAGACTGACGCCCCATTTGGTTAAATAACTTATCCCAAATTACAAGGTTTCCGGGAGGAGGTTGGATTTGAATCCAAGCTGTGTAATACTCCAAAGCCTTCACTATTCTATATTACTATTAAGACCTCACTAAGCCAGAGGTAAGTATGCAAATCCTAGTTAGTTATGACATGTGTGACATTAATTGAACTGCTTAAATTTTCTGTTTTAGTTTTCTCAGCTTTCAAATAGTGATAATAATAGCGATCACCTCATAGAATTGCTGGACACTAGTACTTTTGAAGTACTAGGGAAAACCTTGGCATCTAATAAGAACAAGTGTTTGTTTATTAACTGCTATGGTTAAGGAATTGTACTGACTGATGACTGATAAATTATACACACAGATTTTCTATAATTTCCAAATAGCTTTTATACTTAAAACTGGATTGGGGAGCTGGGGAGATGGCTCAGCAGTTAAGAGCACTGACTGCTCTTGCAGAGGACCTGGGTTCAGTTCCCAGCACCCACATGGCAGCTAACAACCATCTGTAACTCCAGTTCCAGGGCATCTGACACCTTCTTTGGAACCTCTGTGGTTATTGTATGATATGGATGCAGTTATATACGTTCAGGCAATTAACTCATAAGATAAAAATAATAAAATATTTTTTTAAAACTAGATTGGAAATTGAGTTAGTGCTTGTCATCAATGGGAACTGCATACAGACAATCCTAAATCGTAGTCATTAACCATGTGGAGCAGCCTTTCAAAGCTTTTTGGGGAATGTGAAAAGAGTCAAACCTCCCCATTCACTCACTGATTCATTTGTCGCATTTAAAAACAAATATCCTCAGACCAGTGTTGTTGGGAGATCTTCGGACAAAGGGTAAATAAGTCCCTGTTCTGATAAGGCTTCCAGTACTGAGGTGACTATCCTTCCTTATTTGGCCCCAAAGACAGTGTGAGCATGCTGTGGGCTTTATTATCACACCTGTTCAACAAGCATTTACTGACTGCATCCCTGGTGGCAGACACTGGGGCTGTTCAGGTAAGGAAGACAAGCACCCTACCATCAAGAACTGCCTTGGCTGGGCCTTTAATCCCAGCACTTAGGAGGCAGAGGCAAGTGGATGTCTATGAGGTCAAGGCCAGCCTGGTCTACCTATTGAGTTTCAAGGACTACAGGGAGGCACTGTATCAAAAGGAAAAAAAAGAAAAAAACCAGAACGAAACAAAGCAAAGCAAAAAACATGCCTGGTTGGGGCATTGAGGAGATGGCTCAGCAGTTAAAACCACAGGCTGCCCTTGCAGAGGATCTGGATTCAGTTCCCAGCTCTCACAGGGCAGCTAGCAACAGTCTGTTCCAGGATATCTGATGCCCTCTTCTGGCCTCTGTTGGTATTGCATACATGGAACATTTACATACATGTAGGCACCATACATACACATAAAATAAAAATAAGTCAATCAGAAAATAAAATTGAAAAAAGAATATTAAAAAAAAGAAGTGCTAGGTTGAAGGATATCCTAAACAAATGACCCTTCAATTTGATAAATTACATAGCATCTTGGAGCTCAGAGGACAGGCACTTATATCTAAATGAATCATTGGGGGTTGGGGGGGTGGAAAAATTTGACTTTGAAACTCTTTTCTGTCATTGTTCAGTCAAGAAAGCAGACATTAAGCTATAGCCATATAGGGATTGGTAGCACACAAGGCAGTGACTCCACAGAGCTGTGGAGCTGGGCAAGAGTCCAGGCCATGTTACTGCCTAGATCCCAGGATCTGAAGAGAGGGACCAGGCAGAAGTGAAAAGGCCCAGAGGGTTAAAAGGTACAAAGCCAGCAGAAAGGAGCATACTCTCATGAATCACGACAGTGGCTGGAGTATGACCGTGGGAGAAGGACATGGGCAGTTCCCTTGGATTTCTTTCCACCACAGTCCAAATAGTGTCATTTTCCTATCAACATCACCAAACACGGATATGAAAAATCCTTAAGAGCAGGATTTTGCTCATGAGGGAAAGGAGGAAGGATATGGTTCTTTTCGTATCAGTGGACTTCGGTGTCCCCTCCTTTCTACCTCCAGCAGAGCAAATTTTGGGGTTCACCCACAGGTCTAGCCTGATGTTTAGACTGAGACTATGACTAGTTCAGGGCTCCATATTCTTCTGCAGCCCAAAGACTGGTATTCCTTGCCATTCCAGGATACAATAAGGGTAAGAATATCTAGGGTAAACGGCAGACTCTGGGTGCTTCACTCCCTAAAATGTGACAAGTATATAGCAACCAAAGCCAGGAAGATGGCCTCAAGTTTGAGGCCAGCCTGGGCTAAACAATGAGCCACAGGCCAGCCTGAACTTTTTTTCTTTAACTGCTACTTGGACAAGTCACAAACCTCTGTCTCCAGTGGCTGGCAACTTGCTTCCTCACCAACCAAGTGACCACCCCCTTTCATCCTCATGCAGCGCGCAGTGCCCTCAGCCTGCAGTGCAGAACAGGAACTGATGCTGGCCAGGAAACAGACACAGCTTTCTGGGTCAGAAGTTGGCTAGGAGAGGGCCCTGCCTGCCAAGTAACTTGCAATGATGTCAGAGCCCCCAGCACAACCAAAAGTCACCAGCCAGTCAAACAACAAAAGACTCAACAACAGAAAAATCCCGGAGCTGTGCTGCTGAAGCTGTTGCTTCCGCCCCCTAGCCCTTTCTTGTTAGGAAGAACAGCAGGAAGAGAGTGTCTGCTTTAAAAGGCTCCCCCCTTGTCTCCCAGGCTTCCTTTCCGCTACAAAGTGCTAAGGAGCGGGGAAGCAATCTCCGGATGAGTCCCGGGAAGTTCCTTAGGGTGCCTTTTTTGAGTTCCCTTTCAGGACTGTCAGTTCTAAATGTAAACATGTAAGGGACGGGGGACGCCAGGAAACACTGGAAGGTGGAAAGGAATATGCTTTCCTTGCGTCCTTCTCCCTTTTCACGGTAATTAACCACGCTCAAACGAAAATTAAAAGTTTGGCGGAAAACTCTTTCTTTTTCTTTAAACAGAGGCATCGTGCTTGATTCCAGCCAGTTAAAGTCCTTAGTGAAACATAATTAGGCTGTAATTAACACACATAGCCTGTTTGTAGAAATAAACTTTGGATGGAAAAAAAAAAAAAAACCCTCAGAATCCTCTGGTTCTGCCTACATGACTCTTTTATTTCATCGATGACAGTCAATTTTAAATGATGCCACTTCAAGGACATTTTTATCTGTCCCCCAACGTATTACAAGAAACACTTGCCTGTAAAACCCGCTCATTAGCCTGCAAAATTATACTGTACTGAATGGCTTTCATTCAAAGTAGAAATAAGATTTTTAGTAGGCAATTTCTGTATTTTATAAAGATAAAGCAATGTTTGATTGCCTCTTCCCAGCTGTTTTGCTTAGTGGTTATAAAGATAAATGGGGGAGGGGGACAAGGCGAGGGTGAGTTCTCAAGGATGTGCTTAAAAAAATATATCTGAGACTAGAAAACTAAGCCAGAAAGAACTTCGGGGTACCACTGTGCCCACAGCTCCAGAGGGTTTCAATGGTTTGTCCTCTGGACGTCGTGGGGGGGAAGCTGGGGGCGAAGTGAGGGAGCGCGGAAAGGAAGGAACAGGGAGGGAAGCGAAGAGGACGCCTGGCAGGCTCCAGCCGCGGCGCCGAGCTGGGGGACCCAGGCGCTGGGAGGTGCTGGAAGGAGCCGCTCCTCCAAGGTGGGAGAGCGAGGGCGCCGGAGAGCAGGACGCGGAGGCCAGCGAGGGGTCAGCGGGTCACAGCGGGCGGGGACCTCGGGGCGGCGCTGGCCCACGGTGCTCCGGCCGGCCGCGCCTCCCGCTGTCCACGCCCGGGGGTGGGACCCGCGCGGAGGAGCTGCGGATCGCGCAGGGAGCAGGCTTCCCTCCTGATGGATTGACTGGGAGATGGATCGAATTACACCATTTGCGGAGCAGCGGTTTGTTTTGCTGGCGCTGGGTCCCGCGGCTGCCGCTGCTGCAAAGGCTGGTGCTGGCGAGTTTCAGGATCTATCCGGGGAACCCAGAGCTGCGGAGAGCCGGGGACGCCTCTCTTTACAGGGTCTTTCTGTGCTTTTCCCCTCGATCCCGACAAGCTTTAATTTGGTACAGCAGCCTTCCCCATGAGGTAAGACCGTCGCTGGGAGTGCGTGATGGGGTCGGACCCAGGCCCGGAGCCCGGGGCGCAGCGTGTGTGCGGGCGCGCGTGTGTGGGCGCAGTGTCGTGTCGCCGGGGAGTCGGTCCCTTTCCGGAGCAGCTCCCCTCAGCCGAGCATCGGGCGCCAGGAGAGCTCCGGCTGGGCGGTCCCAGCTGGCCGGGGGAGGGGCAGGGGACGGCTCGGCCCTCCTCCGCCTCGCACCCCCTTAGGGACCAGAGAGAGCGGGGAGCCAGCAAAAGTTTCCTGCCAGGCAGGGCCAGCTGGGCGCTCCCCGCTCGCTGTCAGGGAGCGCCAGGGTGGCTCGCTGCGGGCCCCGGAGCCTGCAGCCCAGGCCGCCCTCCAGCCCCGGAGCCCGCAGCCCACGCGGGGCCGCTACCTGTCAGTGCGCTGGGCTCGGACCGCGGCTGACCACCCACCCGGGCCGCACTCCCCCGCAACTTTCCTTGCTTTGTTCTGCTGGAAATGGGCCTCGGAAGCTCCTAGGACAGGGTCTCCGCCAGGCGGCAAGAGCTGAGCGCCGAGATGTGTTACGTTCTCATCTCCCCATCAATTATGGATGGAAACAAATAAGGAAGAGTCAATTTTGCATGAGCCGCGTCTCCGGCGGCGAGAGGCGTCCTGCAGCCCCGAGGAGCCGCCGCTCGCGCTCGCAGCCGCACGCAGGCCATGCCCAGCACCAGGTAGGGGAAACTTCCTCACCCACCGGTGCGCCGCGGCTCCAGGCTGGAGAAACTGAGGCAGCAGCCACCCCGGGGGAATTGGGAATCGCTGCTTCCTTTGGCCTGGCGCGTCATAACTCTTAGGTCCAAGTGAAAGCTCAGTGAGGACTTGGAGGTGTGAGCTAGAACAGGGTTTGAGATTTTTTCTTATAAATCGGTTAATGGGGACGTTGCGGTCCGAGGATTGTTTACATCTAGAACTTGTCCAAACCTGAATGTCTAGGAGCTAGGGGATATTGGGGTAGAGTATTAGAGTGTAAGTTGCACCGCCAGAGGACCTGGAACTGCACTGCCAGCTCTGAGGCCACTGGTCGGTACCCAGTGTTTCAGCATTCCACGAGAGGGTCAGCATTTCACCATTGGAGATACGTTCTCAGACTTTGTAAGCAGTAATTGCACCCGATGTCTGCCAGTCAGGCAGCGTTTTTATGCTTAAATGCAACGGTGTTTTGGGTTACTCGCTTAGAAAATGTCTGGGGCAACTTCCTCTCAAAACTTCTGGCTAATACAAATTCTAAGTCTGCAGTACAAAAATATGGGTGCCTTTCCCCTTCCCTCTACTTGATATTTGGAGCAATAAATCACATTCTTTTGTTTATTTGAATACTGAGGTGCCAGGGGAACATTTCAACATTTTTCTCAATTGGTTTAGTCTCTGCTCTTTGAATAGAAGAAATACTCCATTTGAATAAATTTTTCAGCGTTTCTTCCTTGTAGTATTGTGAAATCTCAGACAACTCAGAGCAAGGGTTTAGCCGTCTTTTCGGTGCTGTAAAATAATGGGTCTTGTGCTGGTTCATTCGTGGTGTTAAAAACAAAGCCCACTCACTGTCTAGGTATCTACCTTAGGAAATTAAGTTGTCTTTAGTCGCGTTTAATGTAGTGAGTGACAGGCTCTTCTGTCAGGCTGGTACATACTACACACAAACATTTACTGTGGCATGGATACTTAGAAACTGCAGATAAGCTCTGAGATTGGGTCCATAGTGCCATGAACCTGAACATTTAAGATAAATAAACTACAGGTGAGCCATAGCTGAGTTTTGTTTTTGATAGTTAATGTCAGTGCTTTAGTTTAGGTCTCTAGAGCGTCCTCTTAGAAGACAATTAAATAGAAGACCCAAAGATTTCCAAAATGTACTGAGCAGTTTTCCACTGCCACTCTGAGTGAGGTCAACAACCCACTACCATTTCTTACTGGATCCCACAGAATATTGGTACCCGGCTGCATTTCTACTAAGAATGCTACATACATACAGTTTCTGAGGAATATTTCCCTGATGTATTCATGAAAGCGTGCCAGGAGTATTGTGATTTCTCCATCACCAGACAGCTGGTTAACTTGAGTTTGATTTAGATCTGTGGGCATTTTGCCACCCCCCCTCTTTTCTATGGTGCCCTCTAATAACACCAGCACCATCTGGTCATGTCTCCCCTGGTTTGATGGATTTCAAAGATGACTGTGACATAAACCTTAGTCCTTAGAGTGAGGGCAACTTAAAAATCCAGAGAAGTTCGTTCACTCATTTGCTGCACAGGAAGGCTCTGTCCAGTAACTGTAATTTGGGTAAGTGGGACTCAGCATCCCATGTGTTGGTTTCTATTCCTTGAAAGGCCACTGAAAAGTAGCTTGGATTCAGAGCTTTAGTTCACAAAGATGCCCGGAACTGAGGACTTACTGAGTCTGGGGAAGTTCTTCACTTCTTGCTGCTCTCTCATAATGAGCTATGGTAATTAGCTTGTCATTGTTCTTGCATGTGAGTTTCACTAAGACACAAAGAGTGAAAAATGCATCTGAAATAGGGTCATTTTTCACTCTTCTGATGCATTTTATGCAGAGCTAAGAGCCTGGCCAAATACCTAACCTTTATTAGTGCAGCCGTAGGAAGCCGTAGGAGCTTTCCCTAACATAATGCAGGATAAATTATTTTTATTTCAATTAATGGCCTTTAAGCCTGTGTATTCTAGATTCATTTCTAGAGGAAGCAAGAAGCAGTTGAGGTATGCCAACCCATCAGTGTTTATTGAGTACCTGTCATTTACAAGGAGCTGTGTTAGCCACTGATTCAACACCCTGTGGACCAGATAGACTTTTGTATGTTCAATTTGAGCAAGACTACTGAATTGTAAATCAGATCTCTCGGCAAGAAATATTAATATGTGCCTCTTTTAGAGTACATTACTCTATCCCAGAAACTTCAAAACACAATTGTCTGCCCCAAACACTCCCAGTGTGGGCCTTCCTGTCTTCAGCATAACTGGACTGTCAATGTTGTTTGTGTCCTGGGTCTGTCCTTGCAAAGAGAGATGGTATTCTCTGTGGCTTGTGTGAATGGAGACCTGGCATCAAAAGTCTAGCAAACCATTGTCTTAGGATACGTATTATTTTGTGAACAGCTGCCGACTCCAGTTGGGGGAAGGTATGTGTTCTGATTTATTCTTTTGCGGCATGGAGACACTATAGCCTGTAACTCCATTAAACACGCCATGACACTTTTCAGTTGAGGTGGCTGTGCTCGGGCTGTTTTCCTCTCAGACGCTGATGGCAACTAACCACTCAGGCTGCTTTCATTTCCCTCCAACAGGAAAACTATTAAAACTTTTTACCCCGAAAACCACGCAGAGAGTTACCAAGAGCCTTCAGATGAGTAGAGTGCAGAACCCTCATGAGATGTTCCTATTTTTCCAACTTTTCTTTTCCATCAGGCTTTGTTAACTCACCCAGATTAGCATTTTAACAACCCTGAAGTGAACTTCCGCCATTCTCTCCACTTGGACACAGTATGTAGATCATCCATCATCCTGTCCTTGGCTACAACAGGCTGCTGGCTCTACCACCATTTGGAGCTGCACAGAATCCATCCAACTGTGAATAGCACAGCTGGCTACAGCAATTTTTTCTTCCACACCACTGGCAGCATTGTCTGGCTGTGGTAAATAAAGTTAACACCCAGAACAGGAAGTTTCCATTGTTTCACAACCTTTGCCAGGCTTCATCCAGTTCTGGAAGTACACCTGCCTTAAGGCCTGCTGGTTCCCAAGGTGTGTTCCACCTAGAAGGGAGCTTTCTCCAACCGTACATCACTTAAGCAGTGATGTGCTCAGCTTGATACAATTAAGCCACCAGAACTGTAGCATTAGAAGGAGCCATTCAGATCCAACTCATCAGACATGGTCAGAATTTATTCTGTCTAAAAATGTGAAGAAAGAAATAAAGTAGCATTCAGCCTGTGACCCTAAGGGACTGGAAATTTAAAAAAAAAAAAAGAGGGGGAGGGGGCTCTTTGTGCAAATACTCTGGCCTTATCCCTTTTCACAAAGACTGTATGATGAACCTAAACAGGCTCATAACTCAAAGGGAACATGCTTCGGACCACATGTTGTTGCTTCCTTCTTTATAAGATATTGTGAGGGTAGCCATTGCTTGCTAAAGCAAGAACAACACATATTTGGTGGGTGAAGTTTTTAGGTGATTTTGCCAAACTTTCTCATTTGTTTGTTTGAAGCTTCCTAATGAAGAATACTACTTTTGCAAAGGGGAGATTATCTCATGTTTTGGTGTGAGTTAGGTAATACTTTCTCTTTTCCTAAAATTTACTAATAAACTCGACCATAAACTAGCAAGGAGTAGGACGGTCTTCATGACGGAAGAAGAGGAAGAGAGAAGAAGAAACAGAAAGCACAGTTCCCAAAGTTGAACATAGTCTGCTTATTAAATGCTAGATGCCCTGATAAGATCTCTACCTTGATTATATCGTGCAACACTCAAACGGCTGCAGAAGATAAGTTCTATAGTCACTGTTTTATAGAGAGGAAACTGAAGTCATCCAGTGAGAGCTCCTGTAGTCTGATCGTTTGACCTTGAACCCATAAACATCTCAGCCTACATTCTCTCATCATTGTGCTGAATTGCTTTGATATTTCTGACATGGTTTTTCATAAAAGAGCTACATTTGTGGAAGATATTTATATATTTTTAAATTTTTATTGAGCTTTTGTAATTTCATACAACAGTTCCTAATCAAATTTAGACGCCCTCCCCAATCCTTTCCCGCCCCGCCCCCCATCCCCCCACTGGACCTCATGTATTCTACCATACATGTTAAGTCCTATTAAGTCAAGCAGAAAGCATTTATACAGAATGCTTTACCTCTGTGGGTACGCTGTTTAACCACAACATCTCCCTCACCTAAGTGTGGTGGTTCTTTTCGGCTTGTATTCCTGTTGGCTAAGCAGTATCTCAGAACATCAGCCTCACCCACTGCTACTCTCCCTTCTGGGCTCTGGGATCACAGTGCAGTAGGTCAAATGACTATATTCACTCTCCAAAAAGTGTTCTGGGTCAGGGTGCAACTGATAGTCATTTTTTCCAGTCTTCCCAGGAGTGTTTGGGGGCCCATCAACAAAGACAGTACAGGAACAGCTCAGGTGCAGAAGGTGCATTTCAGCAGGGCACCACATAATCTTTATGTGGCTGCAGAGAGTTCTTTTACCTGTATGGCCAATTGGACACGCTGTTGAGAAACTGTCACCCATACATTAACTTTTTTTTTCCTTATTGTGCTTTTTTATCCAGAATTCCTATGGAAGAAACAACATAAAACCAAATATCCATTGCCACTATGCATAATGCCAAAATTTAAGGTTTTCAACGGAAAGGAATATAGGTTTTAAGAGTAAGAGTTCAATCTGTTGGTACATGTATAATAAGGCCTCAGGAAGATCTGCAACCACTTAGCCTGTTGTTGGAGTCTGTATTTAGCAGTAGAGTCAGGAGTTTGTTCTGGCGCCTAAAGCCAGAACAGAGGGAATTCTTAGAGAAGATACTTCTGCTCCTTAGGAGGAGACTGTCAGCAGACCAGGGAGCTAGACTCCTTAACTTGGCCTACACTGAACTTATTTCACTTGTTACCATAAGGATGCTTGGAAGATGTATGGGTCTGCAGCACTGTGTGCCTTCA